TGAGCCAAGCAGCCGTCTCTGATACGAATCAGAAACCTCTTCACTGCAGCCTGAAAATGTTGGCGAAAAGGCGAGGACTCACAGTTTAGGTTCTGAGGGATGAATATCTTCATGATTGACATCTCCTCCACGGTGGGAGTGTCTTTTGTCTTCGGGCTGCAGCAGAGGGCGTTCAGAGCAGCGAGTCGGACTTTGTCCTCCGCAGAGCCTAGAGCAAGCTGGAGGGTTTTAAAGGTGGAGCTTCCCTGCAGAGCCCATGGAAAGCTTCCAGTCGTGGCCCGATAAGAGCTCACGATGCAGGCCCAGGCGTGGAGGTGGCCGGGGTTACATGGGTCCAGAGAGTCCAGCAGAGGATCCACAGCAGAGGGGAAGACTTGAAAGGTGAAGGGTAATAGCTGAGTGGAGCTGTGGTTCTGTAGAAGAGTCACATGGGACATCAGAGCCTCATGGAGGACGGGCCGCCAGCGCCTCGCCCACTGATTGGCCAGATCCAGCTCGATGTGTGAGGTGAGACACAGCTCCCGCCTCTGCTGCTGGATCAGACACTTGTAAAGCTCCGATCCACACGGTGACAGGTGATTGGTCGACAAGCACTTCAGGAGATGATTTGGTATTTCAGCGTATTGATCCAGCACCTGATGAATTAGAGAAATGTTAAAGCCTTCATGAGCACCAGTAACTACGTTATTAACACTGTAATAATCAGCTGTCGCCCTTACCATGTCAGACCCCAGAAATGGCAGCAGGGCACAAAGGCGATGATATTTGGCTTTGGATTCCCAGGGTAGTTTGATTATCCGCTGAAGGAGGGTCAAATAAAGAGTCTTGTTTGTGTCACCATACTGCTGACAGTCCATCTCATAGAGGTCCAGCAGAAGACAAAAGGCACTGCGCACAAAATCTGAAACGCCTTCCACCTGCCAACGAACAGTCAGACAGACAGACATGATTAATATTACTGTAGCGACAAAACTCCCAATGAGCAGTTGTTAAGAGGACAAGGTAGGCTCATCCCTTTGATCTGTTTCAATTAAAAGAGTCCTGGAGTGGAGTTATAGTTGAATTAAGTTTAATGACTGAAATAAACAAACAATAACTTAAAGAGGACCAAACGGTCAACCGAAAATATCCGAGCCATCTCACCATCTGGGTCATACAAACTAATGTCAAACAACAGAGGGACTAAATACAAATAAACCACAACCATGTGAAAAATGCTGTAAGTGTTAATTAAATACAAATGTGTGCAATATAAAAATAATAACAACAATGGAAATAAATAATTCAGGTGGTCCAGAATGTGACATGGCTCTGAGTATGTGGACACACTGTAGCAGTTTTTATTAATTTGCATACTTTATAGTACAGTATTTTATGCATTATTGGCAGTCCATTTGGTTTACAAAGTTAAATAATGCCATTGTACTTGCATGTTTCTTTCAGGATTTTAACCTGCAATAATAGAAAGATGTTATTTTGACTCACAGGACTCTCTGCATTGGTCCAGATAATGTGAATGAGCTCTTGCTGCAGCTTGCTGTTGTCAGCCAGAAGGCGAGCACCCGTCATCTTCCAGATATCAGCAAGACATTCTTTAACTCTCTTCAGCCACAGTGTTAAAGCTGCAACAACATGTCGTATTAGAACAGATGATAATGTCATTCAAGGACATAAATATAAACAAAGTGGACATCACTCACCTTCAAAAGCAAAGTAGTGACAGTCCAGCTTCTCCTCACACAGCGCATAGACCAGAGGAAACAACTCTTTCTGCAGTAAACACCTCTGAAAAGAGAGAAAATTAGGGATTTGGAAATGAAAACAAGCAAAACAAAAGAGAAACATGCAGCTAGATTTACTTCTGTGAAATCCACGTGTGAACTGAGCAAGATGTGAGGTCGACAGCAGGTCAGGAGGCCTCTGATCACAGCCAGTCGGTCCACTCCGTCGCTCCCTGCAGGGCAGCACTGGACCTGCAGAGCACCGAGCGTCAGCAGCCAGGGCTCTGAGAGAGAAAGGAAAACAGCTGTAATGCCATGAATCTCTTGGCCTTCAATCGAAAAAACTCAATTTAAATAATAAACAACTTAACTTTGTGTAGGGTAATAAAACTTAACGGTTAAAAACTGTGTTTCGACGGAGTCTTCCACACAGGTTGCACACCTCTCTGTCTCTTAAGAGGCTGGCTCCATGGGAAATGTAGTCTTTTATAATCTCGACTACTGAGGTCACGATTAGGTGACAATATTTGGCCTTTCTTTCTTTTTTTACAAAAGAACTAAGAGTTGCTCTAACAGGTCCATTTGTCCAGCAGTTTTAGGAGTGACCTACCTGAGAGAGAGACCTGCAGCAGACTCCAGGCAGCAGCCTCTCCACAGCGCCTCTCTGACGCCGTGTTGATCAGCATGGCCACAGCAGTTCCTGCCAAAAGACGAGTGTCCCTGTTGCAGCACTGCAAACAAGGACACAATGACTGATAGTGTAATTATGCATTACATTGATGCACATCATGTGAACAACATCTTGCTCTTTTTTGTCTTTTATAATACTGTGAGCCATGTTCATGCTCAACTCTCTGACTGCTTTTTGCACATTTGTGCACACATGTCTGCACAGCACTCCACTTTAAAATATAATACACTGTAGTTTAGCATATATTAATTACTTTTTTGTTTTTTAGCTTTTAAGGTTATTTGTATATTTACATGTAAATGTGGTGTAATTACTTGTCTTTAGCGTGCTTTATTAATGCTAAATTGTTTCTTAAAATACTTATTTTTTTATTAAATATTCTTTTTTTACCTACTTTGCAATTTATTTGTTTAGATTGTTTATGTTCGCACCACCAGATACCAAAGCAAATTCCTTGTATGTGTAAACGTACCTGGCAAGAAACTTGATTCTGATTCTGATAGGCAGCAACAAAGGTAACAACTGAAGAAGTATCTGACTACTGAAGTGATGGATTAATGAGATACCTGTCCAAGTATTATGTCCATAAGAGCCTGCAGGATCTTCCTCACTGTCGGGTCCCCATGCTCCCCGTCCCACACCAGAGGAGCCACTTCACTGGACAACAGCTGGAACACTTGCAAACACATCTGCCGAGACCACAGTTCTCAGGTAAGTTAAACAGATCACACAACAAGTCTGTGATGAATGCAACAGACTAATACATCATGCACCTTGACAGCAATGTAACACAGAGGTCCATCTCTCAGCAAGTCTTGTTGCAATGCAAAGGAGAAAAACTCAGACACTTTGTTCAGCAGAACCAGGAATGACTCTCGCCAAATATCACGACCAATAGTGCTGTCTTCCAGGAACATACAGGCTGAAAAAAGACGAAAACAACAATATGTTCATGGAAACGTACATATGAAACTAGTGACATTGTATAACACATCATCTTTAGCCTTCTCTGCACTTACCTTTCTGCAGATCCTCAAAAGACAGTACCTGAAAGGGGATGGGTTAAAGGTTATTTGCAGTGCCTTACAGCAAATACATATAAGTGAAGTGACAGCTCTTGTCTGTACCTGTTCATTATGGACTATAGAGAGCAAACAGTGATGGGTTTCTCTAAAAACCAAATGGTGGTCCACCTTTGCCAAATGTTGCAACATCTGTCGAGCACATATAAGGTTTCAATGAGATGACATTTTGTCTTTAAATATTGTGTGTACAGTGCAGTACGGACATAATGTAGGGCTCACCTTGTCTACTTTACGACAGGCCGTGGAGATGTTGACCATCTTCAGCTGCATGGAGATGAGGAGTCTCACCAGAAGCAGGATATGAGACTGCTCCAAAACACCAAGCTGATCCTCGGAAATGCGTCTCAGCAGCTGGAGAGCCTCCTCTAAACATCGCTCCTTACATCTTTTCACACTGCTCCTGTTCGTGCAAAACCATTCAGTCATTATGACAGCTTATAGAAATCAGACAAGTTCTCAAACATGCTGAGGGTATGGTTACCGACCTGGAGGATTCAGAGAGTTTTTCACTGAAGAGCCTGAGTGTTTGGTTGACATGTTCAGGTGCTTGATCCTCGGTGACCACACAGCCTTGCAGACTTGTAATCAGATCTTCACACGATAACATTGTTTTAATAACTCCACTGTACAGGCTTTAGATGACGTCAAACGTGAAGCACGCTGTCACGGTGGTCACGTGGCATAACTCTTATTCTACATGTATTAGAGTAGTCATTGTGTAATTACAGCCACGTGCTGCCCCCTGGAGGCAGAATGACAGTTTTGGGGCAAAATATCATAACACCAAAATGTAAATAACTTTATAATGGACAAAATATTAAAGAGACAACACGTTTGATTTTTAAGTATTGAATTAGATGATGGGGAATACTATGGGATCTGTTTTATTTGGCTAGTGAAAAATGTGTGCCATTTACATTTTTCCAAAAGAAGAAAAGTAGAATTAGCATTGATTAATTAAGGCTTTTCCAGTGATACATAATAAACGTTTTTGTCATAACATTTGGCTGTTGTATATTTAGTTGACTGTCTGATATAAACAAAATGTATCTGCTTGTTGCACCTTGCCTGTACAATGTATGATGTCTTGATGTGATTTTGAGTGAAATTGTACCTTTATGCACACAACGAGCACACACGTAGGCCTATGGAGGACAGAACATGACATGAGTAAATAAATACAGGAATAAATACAGGAATACAAATATACCAGAATAAATAAATGCATAAATACAGGAATACAAATATCCAAAAATAAATACATGGCGGGAAAAAACTGAAATAAATACATGTGTAAATAAATACAGGAATAAATAAACACAAGACAAAATTAATAAATATGGAAATAAATAAATAAATGTATTCAGACTGTAGTTGCATGTATGTGCTACTCCAGGTAAGATGGGGGCGCTGTTGTATATTTAGGTCGTTTTGTGTGTCCTGTTTCCCCAGAAGAAGAATATCTAGGATGTGATCGGTTCAACATTTGCGTTGCCATGACATCACTAATCGTTTACAAATATGTCTGCTTTATAATCTGAAGTGAACCAAATGGCTAACGTGTTTGATTTATGCTTCTCCCGTTTATCTATTTCATGCCAGGTCACATATGTTATACTGTTCATTTCCTTGGCGCAACCTCAAAACATTGTTGGTAAGTTTAAATGCAAACAGCTTTACATTAAAACAGCTACTGTTACACTAGCATCAAAAAGCTAAGCTAGCTAGCAAAGAGCTAACAACAAAACAACCGTGGTAACGTTGAACGTGTTTCAGTTTAATAACTAATTCAATAATTGTTATGAAACTAATACGTAAAGCAGGTACGAGATATATCGGCGTTATGCAGGGGTGGAAATATACACTAAGATATTGTATTAAAGTAAAAGTAGAAATACCAAAGTGTAGTGTTACAAGTCCTGTATTACAAAATGTTACTCAAGTGAAAGTAAAGTAATGGCATCTAAATATTCTTAAAGTACCAACAGTAAAAGTACTCATTATGCAAATTGGCACATATATATAATATATTTTGGTTATAATTATTGATGCATTTAACTGTTTATCAAGCTGATAAAGGTTGAGCTAATTGAAACAAGTTGTGAGTTAATCCAGTTCTATCTGAAGTATTTTTTCAAGTATTGATCCTATTGTTTATTATTCATCTCTATCAGCAAAGTCACCAAAGATACTACATAAAGCTTGTGGAGTAAAATTACACTATTTACATCTGAAATGTAGACGAGTAGAAGTACAAAGTAGCATAAAATGGAAATACTCAAGTAAAGTACAAGAACGTCAAAATTGTATTTAAGTACAGTACTTGAGTAAATGTGGAAGTAATGAAGTCTTCATTACTTAACGCCACTGCCGTTTGTTTAACAGATTTCAAGCCATCATATCTCACTGCAACTGGACCCACGGTCACTGCACTTCTGCTCGGAAACGCGTCTGACATCTCTCTGAATCTGAGGACAGTATCTCCATCTAATACGACAGGTCAGTGCGTTTTCTTGTATGGGACGTGTTTTCTAGCAAACATTTTTTGATTTGTATTTACTTGAGCGGTGTTTGAAAATACCCAGTTTCCATTAGATATAATTCTCCGGTTTAGTGGCACATAAAAGGGCTGTGATGTGTTTTCTGTTACAGGAAGTATTGGCCCTCCATCATGTGTAGCTGGAGTAACACAGTGGGTGCTCACAAGGGAGCAGATGGGGAAGGTAAGAAGAGTACAGTTGACTTAATAAAATCAAATTATGTTTTAGTTATATGCTGTTGGATAGGGTTTATTTAAATAAAAACATCCCACAATTAATTTAATAGAGCTTATTTTATTGTCTTACACCAGTTTATTTAATGTGTCTTATGTTTGTTTCAATTCGCTCCCCAGACTGCAGTTCGGGTTCAGCTAAAGCTGGATAAAAGTCTGCGTCTGTGTGGTGAGAATGAATCAGATACAGACTGCTGTCCAAAGCCTCTGTGTGTCCTGGAGACCCTTCAGGTGTCTGCCTGTGTGGGCGGCACTCCTCAGGCATCGCTGCTGATCCAGGCCAGGATATTCGCCCTGTTGCTTCCTGCTAATGCTGGATCTGGTAATTAAAACTGTGCCCATCATAATGAGCCTACATGATAAGGATGTCTCCATATTTATCCTGATATATAAATATAATTCACAGTTTCAGAGAGTCGTTTGGGTTTCAATTTAATATTCTCTCTCTGATCCTCTTTTATCCAATATTTTTTATTTATTTAATATATTTTACCGTTCCTGTCCACACCATGTACATTTTGTCTTATTTTGTAGTAGAGAATGTTGCCAGTGTGAATTCCACATTTCTAATAAATGTAAATCTCATCCATTTAGAAAATAAAACAGTCATTCCAAACCAAGTGTACCAGCCACTGGGCTCTTGCCCCTGTGACCTCACTTTTGGAGCATGTGATGTGCGCTGCTGCTGTGACACGGTATTTACATCTCTCACAACATTACTATCTTTTAACAAGAGAACAGTGCACTTTAGTAAAAAAATAATTTCCTTTGGTATTAATCATGAATGACTTACTTGTCTTCCATTCACACAGGACTGTTCCTCTGAAGATCTGAAGCTGTTTGTGTCCCACTGCCTCCCAGGTCCCTTTGGAGGACAGGTCTCTCCTGCTTCAGATTATCAGTGCTCTGTGCAATCCTCGAAAAACTCCCCAGATTGGTTTCCATTTGTATGTGTCAATTCTCCACCTGAAAACAACCCTTACCTCGGGCTCTTTTACCAGGGATACACAATGTGAGGAATCGTTCAATCTATGTGTTGATTATATCAATGAGAGTATATGTTTTTGTGTCATATTTCAATTATTGTTCTTTTGCCCGTTAACCTTTCTAGCACACCTGAACCGGGCCCATCCTTCCAAAGCCCTGTTTCACCTGCTCCAGTGCCAGTTAATGTTTATATTCAAGGAAGTCCCATTTTCACATTAAATGACCAGTACTTCACTATTCCTCAGGTTAGTGGTGTGTATATTGTTCTTACATCATTTGTTTGTTTTTTCCTGAATTATTCTAATTAATTTTATATTTCTGTTTTACAGAAGGTGCTCGGGCAGTGTGTAAACAATGCGCCTGTAGCATTTCTGAAGAATTTTGAAGTGAATTGTGCAACTCTTCTACGTTCCTGTCCAACTGGTTCCCCCTTACGGACTATACCAACAGATTTGAGGATTAAAGTAAAGAATGGGCAAGGAGGTGTGTTTTACCCGCTAAACTCACAAAAACTCACCTCTTCAATCTGGCTTTTAATGTGTGATTGTTTTTGTATTATTTGACTTTAACTTTAACTATATATTTATTTGTTGTTCCTTTCTTCTCTTTTCTTTTCTCTTCACTATTATCTGTAAAGCGTCTTTGAGCACCTGTAAAAGCGCTAACAAATTAAATCTATTATTATTAAACATAATGTAGCAATGTTTTTATACACTCTGAAGCTCTTTTTTAATCATTTCTTCCATGTTTCTTTATGTGTTTCAGGTGATGTTTTAGTAGACGTAATTGACGAAGTTGCCTTTGACTTGAGTCAGTTTATTTCAAGCACTGATGCCCCTTCAGGTAATTAAATGAAAACATATTCTTACCAAAACAACAACAATGGACAATTAAGCGTAATGTTGAAATTTGATATTCCTCTGAAGCTGAGGGGCTGGTATGTGAGAACGTGACCTTGGCGCTGGATTACAAATTGTACTGGGAAGGAAATGACATCACAAGTATCACAGTGACTCAGACTGTTGGCACCATCACATTCAATAGTAGTGGTAAGTGTTAAGACTTGTCCATGATCAGCCTTAGTTGATAGATGTGTTTAATGTAATCTGGACTCATTTCTGCTTTTCTGTCCCCAAACAGTGGCGTTAACTACAAGGTATTCTGCCGTGTTTTTAAATGGAGAATTAATGGGTGAAACCAACTCGGGGAACCCAGGTGAGAACAAGATCATTTACTTTGTCCTGAGAATGGTTGTGGAAGTGAGTCTACATGTTTCAGTGGGTAACCAACACTTCAAATGGCAGGTTATCAGGTGGGAAGGCCTGTTATCGCTGGAATTGTGGACACTTTGGACAACAATACGGGCTTAGTACAGAGGGAGTCAATCAGTCTTTGGAAACCAGGTAAAACCCATTCTTGTTGGTTACTGGATCACTGAATGTGTCATAATTGTGATGTATGTGTAATTCAATCAAAATAAGGTGGATAAAGGAAACCTCATGTTTGAATCTACCTTGCAGTGAGTGATGGGCTCTGTGTCTCTGCTGAGATGAAACCAATTCTGTTTGGGGAGAATTCCACATCAGGATGTCTACTCCCTGTCAGTAGACACAATCTGAGTCAGTGTGATCTCCTGAGGTAAATCAGCATGAGTTCATGTTTAATCTCTATCAATGTGTGTTTCTACTGAATTACATTTGAATGTATTTTTCCCATAGAGAGACTGTAACCTCTCTCCAGAATAATCTGATGACAGCCACACATGTTGCAAAGAGTGGGAACCCCGATCCTTTCACTACGACAGACTGGGTGAACATAAGCTGTGAGTAGATTGTGCAAAGAAACGATTCATGCAACCTTTTCACTATACTTTTATTAAAGCAAAATTAACAGTTTGATTTACAGTATTTTTTTTTTAACTAAATGTTTTATACATTCCAGTTTTGACACAAAACTCTAGCACAGCTATGGAAGACAGCACAAATTCATGCTATGGGGTTCCATCCCACCAGCATATCCATGTTTGGAGTCTCATCACAGGCATGGTAGGAGGCGTACCTCAGAGGGATATCCGTGCTCTGCAAGTCAGGTGTGTATCTGGTGTATATTCATTGAAACATAGACTTTCAATTTTATTCTCATTGCAAATTCTAAATCATTGTGAATCATGGAGGTTATTTTGGTCATTTTAGCTACAGCATGTCCCCCTGGACACTGGATTGTGGAGGTGGGGATGTCTCTCCATGTGTGGACCCCACGGAGACTCAGTTGTTCCCCATCACCTCCTCAGTCTCCTTTACTGACATTCTTGTCAACACAGGACCACCGAAAACCAGGCAAGACTGCCCTGATGTAATGAGGGTCGTAACTTGAGACAAATACTGCATACTGTGTATAAGCTGCCTCACTGATTCAAACCCAGACTGTAATGTTTTCTATTTTTTCCACAGGTTTCAGATAAACTTCACTGAGTATGACTGTAACCGGAATGATGTGTGTTGGCCTGAGCTCGCCTTTCCCATCACCAAGTATTACACAGGTGAGAATCTATTGAATTCTAGATCATCTATCCTGTGTTTTATTTTGTACCGTAGTTGATATTTCAGGAAATTGGAACATTGATGCGAGAAACACTGCCTAAGTCCTGACCCTGACAGTGCCATTGCTGACTTTACTTTCCCTTTATCGTCCCCAGGTGAGCCGTATTCCCAGTCTCTGGCAAAGGGCCTTATTTTGGTTTTCTTCTTTATCACTGCTTCGATACTCGGGACTCCATGGAGACAAATCAGACAAGCATGGAAATAGTGCCGCCCTCTATGACTCTTAAGAAATGCTGATGTAGAGGAAGAAACAAAGATCTTTGAAGATTATACATAGTTTATAATTATATTGTTTTACATGTTTTAGATATGTTTGTGGGAATGTAAATAATTGTTTTGGTGCACTCATTTGTAATAAAAATATTTTTGTACTGCTTGTTCCTTTTTAATATTATTTTGTTGACAGTATATTATTTAAAGTTTTGAAAAGAGGGCTACCCTTTTGTGCACTCCTCTATTACAATTACATTTGTAGATTTCTCTTATCCAGTTCTGTCATTGTTTATTCACGATTTATATGTTTTCTCAAGAAGTTATCATTCACAATCATTCATCATCATTCACATTTCTATGTCGGTAGTAGAAGATTGCGTTCAATGTTACGAAGTCAAAATCTTCCTTAAGTAAAAGTACAAAAGTATTGCCATCAAAATATACTTAAAGTACCACAGCTAAAAGTATTCATTCTGTAGATTTTCCCATTTCAGAATAATATATCATTTGTTTTGATTATAATTATTGATGCAAAAATGTGTAAAGGTGCAGCTAGTTTGAATGACTTTGAATACTGCAGGGTAGTTTGTGAATTTACTCCAGGTGGAACTAAAGTGATTTAAATATTGATAAAATGTCTGAATTGTAGTGTGGTTGAAGTACAAAGAAGCGAAACGTTGACCTACTCAAGTGGACTTAGGTACTTAAGATCACTGGTCAGTGTTTGCCTTCAGCAGTGCTGGCTCAAACGCTGAGTGCGTAGTGCGCAGACTCCAGGGGGCGGTGCTGATTGGTCAAAGGTACGTTCACTGCTGTGGAAGTTCATATTCAACAGTGTGGAGAGAAGTGACGTGGAGTACTATGAAGATAACAAGCGGACGTCTGCTGAAAACTTCAGAAACTATGAGAGGAGTCGTGACTAGATGTGTGGATGAGCTAAGCCAGTGGTGGTAATACCGGGCGCCTCAGGATTCCTGCTTCCACTTCGGCGGGACAAGTTTTGTATCCGGGTATTAACAACACAGTAATAGCTGGCTAGCCCATTAGCTAACAGGAACAGCATCGGCTCTAGCAATAGCTCTCAGTCAGCGTCATGCAATTCATATACTGTATCATCACCAGAATATGATCACCACGAAGAAGGAAATCACTCATCGCCCTTGACGTGCTTGTATTGCCGGAAACTGCAGTTGTTAGCTTGTATTAGCTCCTCGGTTTAGCAGGTAAACAACCAAGCAGACTGTCAAAATGTGCTCTCTGCTCCGGGGGGAAGAGATGTGTCTGGCCCAGCTGTTCCTGCAGTCCGGGTCCGCATACGACTGCATCAGTGAACTTGGAGAACTGGGGCTAGTGGAGTTTAGAGACGTAAGTACCGAGAAGACCAGTTATAATCTGCTGAAACAAAGTCATGACTCACTTTAAAAGTTCTTCCTGACTTGACAACTTTCTTACCTGTTTGTTGGTCGAAGCGTCTATGGCGGGTTTTACCAAAGCAGACTTTGCCACTGAATGCATGCAAGTCATAGATAGCCTATAGATCATCAGAGGTGGAAGAGGTACTCAGATCTTGCACTTAACTACAAGTAGAAGTACCACAGTGTAGGAAATACTCAGTTAATTGACCAAGATTTATTTCTGTAATACTGGACGTGTAGTCCTGCTAAGTTCTGATGGTCTCTGATGTCTAACTATCAATCACAGAAAATCTATTCAATATATATTTAGCATATGTTAAAATGAAATATATAATGCACACAACTTTGCATGTGTTAATGTCAGTAGTGGAAGAAGAACTCAGATCTTGTACTTCAGTAAAAGTAGAAGTACCAGTGTAGTAATACTCTGTTACAAGTAAAAGTCCTGCATTCAAAATGTTACTCAGGTAGAAGTACAAAAGTGTTGGCATCCAAATATACTTAAAGTACCAAAAGTAAAAGTACTCATTATGCAGATTGGCCAATTCTTCTGAAAAATATATGTTTTGATAATAATTATTGATGAAATAATGTGTTTATCAAAGCTGGTAAAGGTGCAGCTGGTTTTAATGACTGTGTATATACTGCAGGTTTGACTGAATTAACTCTAGGTGTAACTAAAGTCTGATTTAAGTGTTGATTATATTTCACAGCATGAATCCAAATCTGCAGAGTAACTAAATGTATCAAATACATGTAGTGGGGTTGAAGTACAAAGTAGAAACACATTGAAATACTTAAGTAAAGTAAACGTCCCTCCAAATTGTACTTAAGTACAGTACTTATTGTAGTTAGTTACTTTACATGGCCTGTTGTAAAGTAGACGTTGCCACTGAATGCATGCAAGTCATAGATACCATGTAGATCAGAGGTGTTTTAAAGTGCTGCTGTAAAAAGGCCTGTACAGGTGGTAACTGTATGTTCATTTTATGTTGGTTTGTACTGAAAAAATGTGTTTGACTTTAATTGTATCAATGATGACTTTTGACTGTATATGTCTCCTACACCTTTTCAGCTCAATCCCAGTGTTACCACATTCCAGCGGAAACACGTCAATGAGATAAAGAAATGTGAAGAGATGGAGAGGATCCTTGGTAAGGATACATTGATCTTTACAGTTTTCACGTAAGGCAAAGTCTAATCATTAAGTTGTAGTTTTGGGCATGAAATCAAAGGGATTTTGCCCCAGAAAGGTTTCCGATAAAGCTGTTATGGGATGGCAAAAGTGAAGCAGGAGTACAAGAAGCCACAGAAGACGGTTTCACTGAATTCAATTGAGAGCCAATGAGCCTCCAGTCATGAGAAATGTCAGCTGGTTGTAGATTAAGTTGAATGAAATGCTGTCCTTGATTAACGAATCCCTTTATAATTAGATTAGGAGAAGAGAGTACCACTCTGTTGGACTTGGCTTCAAATGCAGTGTTATCAAAAGGATGTTCATGGTGTTTGGAAGCGCTGAAACAAAACATAATGAAACAAATGTTGTGTGTCTTACAAAGTTGGCTATCTATTTTTTAACAGGGTACCTTCTGAGGGAAGTCAAGAAAGCCGACATTTCACTCCCAGAAAGAGACGTGAACCCAGTAGCTCCTTTACCCAAGCACATCATGTCTATAATGGTCAGTTTCATGTTTAAGTATCAATTATGTGAGTCAATACCACTTTAACTAATTTAACATAGTTGAGTAATTTAATTATTCTAACTTTGTTCTGCTAAAGTCTGTGCACATTTCCAAAAATGAAGCATCATTATTATTCCCTGTAATGACCTTGTGTTCACTTGGTGCGTGTGTGTGTGTTCACAGGAGCAGCTGCAGAGATTGGAAGTGGAGTTGGGTGAAGTCACCAGGAATAAGGACAAGCTGCAGAGGAATCTTCTGGAGCTGACAGAGTACACACACATGCTGCGCATCACACGCACCTTTGTGCAGAGATCAGTGGAGGTTAGTGTGTCGTTCTGTAACGTGCCTCATACATCTAAACTTGGGATTTAGACTTTTTTTTCTTAAACCCTTTTTTCTTTACCTTTAGCGAGACCCCCTACAAGCTCAATATGAGGAGTTTCCCTTCCTTGAGAAAGACACAATGCTGGAATACAGCAGCATGCAAAGACTTGGAGCCAAATTGGGGTGAGGAACGATCTCTGCAGCCCAAAAACCCCCGTTATAGGTGTTGGTGAAGAAGTTCACATGCTACCCTCATCCCTGTAAATCTGAGCTTTGGAGTTTAAATGTTTAGGCAAGCATTAATAATTTACCTGCAAAAGTAAAAACAATATTATCTTATTTCATATAAAATGTTTTCTCTTTGTTGATGCAACTGTGCCCAAGTTGATTTATTTTCTATTTGTCCAGTATATCAAATGTTTAAGATGTTTTGTTTATACTTTATGTTATGGTGTCATCACATAATTCTTGATATTTTCAACAAAAGGTTGGTTTGTGAATGTTTTGCTCGTTCTCTCGCAGGTTCATTTCGGGGCTTATTCAGAGGACAAAGATCCAGGCGTTTGAGCGAATGCTTTGGAGAGTGTGTAAAGGCTACACCATCCTCAGCTACGCAGAGGTCGAGGAGTATCTGGAAGACCCTGACACAGTAGGTTCCTCAAAGCTAACATTGGCTTTGATTTGGGCTAAAGTTGAATTATTTTTGTTATGTTTTCTCCCTATTGCAGTGTCAGATGAACATATTAGTCCAGCAGATATGTGAAAGAATTGTGCTTTTGATGATAAAAGCATGAAATTTGGCACACTGTTAGAGCATGCCCTAAGGAAGATTTTTTTTGGCTATAGGGCCATCGCAAATTTGTCCAATGGCAGCCATTTTGAAAATGGCCGCCATTGGTTGTTATTTTACCAGTAGTTTAGGATCTAGACCACCTAGGATCTTGATTCTGGTGGCTAATCCTACATTTTCAAGGATGGGGAATGCATTGGTACTATTTACAACATGCTAGAATGTAGTTAACTATATGTATGGTATTCAGGGAATAAAATACACAGTAAACCATTAACATATTTATTATGGTGAAGTCATACATGTTACATAATATATATGAAATATTAAAGGTTTTCAACTAAATGCAGACTTAGTTCTGAAAACACAGTCCATCACAGTGGCAAAGGGCACTGCACTGAATTGCTGCATTGACACATTTGCATTGTCCACTGCACCCCTTTTTGCATCCACAGCGGAGGAGTTCACAATAGGCCTGGTAATGTGGTCCAGTAAACTTCCCATCAACCTGTGGCCTTCCTCTTCCACCCCCAGTCNATGGCCGCCATTGGTTGTTATTTTACCAGTAGTTTAGGATCTAGACCACCTAGGATCTTGATTCTGGTGGCTAATCCTACATTTTCAAGGATGGGGAATGCATTGGTACTATTTACAACATGCTAGAATGTAGCTAACTATATGTATCTGGTATTCAGGGAACAAAATACACAGTAAACCATTAACATATTTATTATGGTGAAGTCATACATGTTACATAATATATATGAAATATTACAGGTTTTCAACTAAATGCAGACTTAGTTCTGAAAACACAGTCCACCACAGTGGCAAAGGGCAGTGTACTGAATTGCTACCTTGACACATTCAGGAGGAGTTCACGACAGGCCTGGGTTGCTGTGATTGCCAGTAGGCTACTACCACATCCGTGTCAACTGTGCGTATTGACACCTTGCTATACCCTTCCTTCACAGCATGTCCTAGGTGCAGTAGGATGTAGGTATGAGCCTCTTCATGTGTGCATGTTGCAAGTACTGATTATTTGTTTGCCAGTGTTGAGGGCTGTCACACTGGTTGCCAGGAAGAAGAACAGTTCAGTCTTCTTGTCTTCAATGCGCAGAAACTATGGCCAGTTTCCAGGAATGACACTGGATGGCTCAACGCGTCTATGAACTCCCTTCCCTCTCTTGCTGCGTGTTTCAGCCTTCAGACTTTCGGGGAAATATTCATCCCACACGACATCAATTCTGCTGAAATGCTCCAGCTGAGACAGGATGTATGGTGAGAACGCTTTCTGCGCATAATAAAAAAACATCTTAGCAGCACCAGGTCGTAGCATGTTCACAAGAGTAGCCCCATCAAGGATGAGGCATTAACTGTGTGGTGGTTGGGTTTCACATTGAGATGGCAGCACTCAAGGTACTTGGCGACCTCCTGGAGGGGTAGCGGGTGGACAAGAGCAGTGTTATGTTCCCAGTTCCACTTCTGGTCTATCATCCTGCAGCTGGAAATAGAGTTGATGATCTATGTGCGATCAATAAGAGAGGCCGACTTCCTACTCTACATAAATGCCTTGACCAAGATTGTGCCTTGGTTCATGCTCTGGGGCACACCCCACTATTGCCGGCATGCGACACCAGTCCACTTGCGGACCATGATTGTGCTAAACAAGATAAACCATCCTGATGGCCATTTTTTTTAAAGGAAAGGCTGTGAAGAAAACGGACATGCAAGCTCTCTGCTATTGCCATTGACCAGACCCACGAGACGATGAATGCTGTCTTGCCCCGGGAAAGAAATGGCACTGTTGTATGTAGAGATTGAGGCCGTCCACTGAGAGAGAATGGACTGCATCCGGCAACCATGGCAGACCAAACATGCGCAATGGCATTTGCACGAGATGTTAAGCACTACTGGTTGCTATAGAAGACTGTGGCAATCATGCTGTGAAAGGGCATTGTAGATCTTCTTGGGTACTGCGCGATCTAGAGATCTTGCCGATGCAGTAGTCATTGACACTCTGAACCAGATGAGAAACTTGGAAGGCACAGTGATCGGCACGACTACAACGTGGAGGCTTAGGAGTATTTAGATTTTTTATTCACCCATTAGCAAATAATGAACAGTGGCTAATCACTTTTAATGGTAAGGGGTGTAATGTCGGGCGTGAACAGTGTGTAGCGAGTGAGCACATATTAAGAAGCCCGAAAGCGTGCTCCGCGGAAAGCGTCTGCCCGCCGGCGCTCGCATATACCAAGCTAAAGCGGAACGTGCGGTGAGCGCGGTTGGGGCGCCGAGACTCGAATGCTTGATGCCCTTGCAAAAAACAGAATTCTGGCTTCCCACAGGAGCGTTAAAAGTAAGTCCTCGGTTCCGCCTGTCTTGTCCAGAGGAAAGCGCCTACTTCCTAATATCTACTTATTACCTGTATAAAAAGACACCTGTCCACAATCAATAAATCAATTCCCAACCTTCCACCATGGGCAAGACTAAGAGCTGTCAGTACCTCAGGACAAGATTGTAGACCTGCACCAAAGGCTGGGATCGGCTACAAGACCATCAGAAAGCAGCTTTGGAGAGGGCTTGTTGGTGCGATTATTTGGAGATGAAAAAAAAAGAACAAGGGCATCAATTCACAATCAATCGCCCCAGTCTGGCGGCTCCACATCAAGATCCTCGCCCCGTGGGGGTATGATGATTATGAGA